ATTTAATTTTGCTCCTGGATTGCATGGGGTATAATCTCATGTTTGGGCTGCCCTGAGTTAAATCTCACACTGGGACTTTACTGGGTTTAGTCCCACATTCAGCCCCTGTGCACAGGGCTTATTGAACTGCAGTGTCCTCCCAAGGAAAGACTCCAACTGGTTTTACTGGTTTAACTGGGGTAATTCCACTGTGCTAGGGTTGCACTGGCTGCAGCTGTGCATGTGTGTGTGCTGGCCCAGCCCAGCATGGCTTGGTACCCACAGCTGGTATGGGGGTCCATGCACCCCACCAAAGTGGCACAGAAGAAGACAGACCTTTTTGAGCTCCCCAGGGCACTGGAAGGGCTGGGGATAGCGCACAGAGTATCACCCAAGGTGGGCAAGGTATTGCCTGAAGTGTGATTGTGCGTGGCCCCAGTGGCGCTAGAGGTGATGGGGAACATGCTTCCCTCCCTCCCAGCACCCTGCTGGGCTTTCTCCATGCAGCCAGTGGCTGGGAGGGTGCCAGTGGTTGTTGCAGGGGGTTGTTGCTCCCCACACCCCAAAGGTGCATGTTCCTGCAATGATGATGAAAATCACCAAGGATGCAGGGGTGGAGTGCTTGCAGGTCTCTGGGCGGATCAGTGGGTGCAGGGAGGTACTCAGACCATGACATGGGTCCTCACAGTGGGACATGATGCTTCTGCAGGGCTTCCAGGAGGAGAGGGATTAGTGAGGCACTGCTCCCAGCCCCACAGGAAAACTGGGAGAGGGGAATTCCCGCTGCTTTGAAATGCCACCTGTAGGATGGCATTCCAACATAGGACATGTTTCCTACAGCAGGCCCTGGCAGAAAAGAGGGTTTGGAGTGCAGGGCTGGGGAAGCACCCCCAGCTTAGGAGCAGGAGTACAGAGTGATGCCATCTCTGGGGCATTAGAACCAGCTTTGGGTCTTTGCCCATTGCAGAGTGGCTTTTTGCAGGTGGGTGACTCTGTCAGGGCCTGGCACACGGCAGGCAGAGCTGCCAAGTGCTCTTGGGTCATTTGCCATATCTCTGTTACAGTAATACTGCCTTTGACCACCCTGAGGAGAGGTTAGGAGGCATCTCAGTTTTCTGTACTCAGTGGGGAGCATCTCACATGTCCCCATTGCCATCTGCAGCCCTGAGGCACAGTGTCATCTGTTTCTGTCCCCATCCCCACCATCCTGGCTCTGTGTGCGGCCCATTCTCTTTGAAGAGTGACTTCAAATGAAGCAAAACAAAAAACCCTAAAAAACCAAAACCCACTGTCTTTTAAAGCACTGAGCGCAATGGAAAGTTGGCTTCCCCCAGGAATCTGTGCCGGGCTTTGCCAGGCCATGACAGGGCACAGCACAGAGCAGCTGTACCGAGGGGATTGCCCCACCCCACATGGACATCAGTGCTGGTGCACATAGCCGTGATTTTGGGGGAAGTTTTGGCTCACAGCATTTAATTTCGGATGCAGGAAGGGACCTATGGCAGGATTTCTCCCCACTACTCCCCAAAAATTTTGGATGAGCTCAAATGGTGCCCAGTGGAAGAGCAGGGTTGGTGCGGGGTGGAGCATGGCACCTTGTGTGTTTGGCTCACCCTCATGGGTACCACAGGCAGCCTGGCCACCCTGGCCATGCCAGTGACAAGAGCATTCCATGCTAACGGAGCAGGGTCTGGCACCACTGCCCTTCCTGCCAGGACCAAACCACTCCCCCAGGGTGAGTTGGGTCCCTCTGCCCTGGCCATGGCACTGGGAAATCACACAGCCCAGGGCAGGCAACAGATGTCTCTTGGGCCAGGATTAGCATGCAGGCAGGAAGAAAAGCTCTGATTGTTCCCTCTGTCCCGGCTCGGCTCCAGGACCACTGCGCTGGGACTCTGCGTCCCCAGAATGTGTCATCGCTGGTTCAAGCATGAAGGGATGTTTTCTCTGCCTGTGTGCCCATTTGTGGGGGTGCAGAGCCATGAAGGAAGGTGGCCTGGCCATGCACACCCATGTGTTCATCTGCATGCTTGTTTTTCCCTTGGCCAGGGTGTTCGGTGGCCGAAAATAAGGGAATCCTTCCTGGGCGGGCTGTCTTGCAGCACCAGGCCCCCTGCCATGCCACTGCACCCAGGGATGAGGGCTCCAGGTCTTCCCTGGCTCTCTGACTCCTTCTACTTTTGTTTGTGGCCTTCGGGCAGGGGAGGAAGGGCTTGCCCTTCTCCTTCTTCTCTCTGCAGTGGTGCTCAGTTGGAGATAGGTTTTTGACAATGCTCATGAAAGTCATTTACTAAGACAATGTGTGATTGGAGGGGCTTGGAGCTGTCCTCCCCCACACTGTGCTGGGAAGGGTGGCCCTGTGAGGCAAGGCATGGGGTGGTGGGGTGAGGATGGGGACTGCTTGGCCGGGGCCCTGGGATAAAGGGTGTTGAAGGGTGGAGGATGCAGAGTGGGCCTCAGGATGAGTGGTGTTAGAGTTAGGGTTAGGATTAGACTTAGATCACTGAGTTTAGGGTCTAGGTTAGTGGTCTCTAACTAGACTTAACCACTGGGGTCATTATGGGGATGTGTTGGGATGCAGATGGGGGCAAGGTCTGCAGGGATGTCCTCTGCCACCAAGTGAGGCTCTGAGGTGCCTCTGGGTCCTCTGGTGTTACCAGCCCCAGACAGGCCAGGCCAGGCCAGGCAGGGCTTCTTACACCGTTCCCTGGGGACATTAGCAGTGTCTGGCTGCAAATTGTGACATTCCCCCAAGCTCTCCCCTTGTCCATACAGGGAAAGAGGCCTTTTAGTGTTGCGGCTGCAGGGTCATTTTTCCAGACTGGCCTTGAACCAATCAGCGTCCCTAAGACCAGGCAACCTCGTGTCAGCAGTGAGCCAGTGCCCAGAGCGTGGTCTCCTGCCACAGAGCAACATGGTGAGGGTGAGCGAAGGGTGTAGCAGCTCTGTCTTCACCCTCTGCAGCGTTTGAAAAAACAGAGTGGTTGGGAGAAGAAATTATTTTATTTTAAAACTATTTTTCTCTCTCTATACTAACCCACTCTCCCTTCTCCCTGACATCCTCCTTCCCCCCCCCCCCCCCCACAGAACCATCTCTTCACTCTGGCCCACGTGGTGTATGGAGTTATTTTTGGTCACTGCTTTTAAGACAAAATACACTC